ATCCAACATCTGCAGCATCCAACATCTGCAGCATCCAACATCTGCAGGGTTCTTGTAGGAGCGTTCATGTAAATAATGTCACCATAATCAATGGATGGAAGGAAAGTCACAGACACAAGGTGTTTCCTAACATTCAGAGTTAGACAGGATTTGTTTCTGAAAAAGAAACCCAGTTTAACTTTCAGTTTCTTCACCAAGTTTTCCACATGGAGCTTAAAAGTGTGATGCGAGTCGACCAAGATACCCAAATATTTATAGGAATCAACAAACTCAATTGGGACACCATTTGAGGATGAGATAAGAGGAAGAACTGTTGGGACCAACTTCCTATTTGAAAAAAGCATCCCTTTGGTTTTGTCGGCATTTAGGACAAGTTTGAGGTGGAACAAATCTGACTGGATGATGTTAAATGCAGAATTCAAAAGCTGGAAAGCCTTAGCAACAGTTTTAGCTCGACAATAAACAACTGTGTCATCAGCATAGAAATTTATGGATGCATCAGGGATGCTCTGACCTACATTACCTCTGTAGATTGTAAAGAGGGTGGGTCCTAAGACTGAGCCTTGTGGTACACCATTGTTGACTGTTAAATAACTGGAGGAAGTACCATTATGTTTAACACATTGCCTCCAGTCTGTGAGATAGTTAGAGAACCAACCAATGGTGTGATCTGAGAAACCGATTTCTGAGAGTTTATGACACAAGATGTTATGATCCACAGTGTCAAAAGCTTTAGACAGGTCTAAGAAAAGTGCAGCACAATAATCAATAAAAAAAAATAAAAAAAAAAAATAATATATAAAAATTATTATTTTTTTAAAACTGGGACAATAACTTAAACTGACTGGTGGGGAAGCTATTTGGGTTTGTTACTTTTCTGGTAGGTACCACGCAGGTTTACCTATTGTTAAAGACGGGAGCTGGCTGCGGGCCACCTGACAAGGAAATCCCCTCCAGCCCAGGACATGTCTGAGGACAGCAGGACATGAATGAGGACAGCAGGACAGTGGTGAGATGTGCTGTAGGAGTGACAGATAGCTTCAAGGTGGAGGTGGGAGTGCATCAAGGATCGGCTCTGAGCCCCTTCTTGTTTTCTCTGCTGATGGACCGACTAACAGATGAGGTCAGGCAAGAATCCCCATGGACGATGATGTTTGCAGATGACATTGTGATCTGTGGTGAGAGCAGGGAACAGGTGGAAGAGAACTTGGAGAGGTAAAGGTGGTATGCACTTGAAAGAAGAGGAATGAATGTCAGCCGTAGTAAGACAGAGTACATGTGTGTGAATGAGAGGGAGGCCGGTGGAACAGTGAGGCTACAAGGAGCAGAGGTCACAAAAGTACTTGGGGTCCACTGTCCAGGAAAATGGGGAATGTGGTAAAGAGGTGAAAAAGAGAGTCCATGTAGGATGAAACCTGCTGGATCCCCAAATGATCCCATCCCACCTCGTCTTTTTAAAGAGGTTTTTCACACCGTGGCTCCTCATGTGTCCCAAATTATAAATGACAGCTTGGCATGTGGACAGGTACCAGCGAGCTTTAAACATGCAGTTGTGACACCACTGATTAAAAAACCTAGCCTAGACCCCACAGTAATGTCCAACTTTAGACCCATCTCAAAACTGCCCTTCATATCTAAGATCTTGGAGAAAATTGTTTACAATCAGTTAACATCATACTTAAACGACCACAACCTTCTTGAACAGTTTCAATCTGGCTTTAAAACTCACCACAGCACTGAGTCTGCGCTGCTGAAAGTCTTCAACGACATTCTTTTAGCCGCAGACTCTGGTGACTGTGTAGTTTTAATGTTGTTGGACTTGACTGCTGCCTTCGACACAGTAGACCATCACATCCTCCTGTCTCGTCTGGAGAACTGGGTGGGCATTCAGGGTCCTGCTCTACAGTGGTTCAGATCCTATCTGACAGAAAGAAACTTCTGCGTGCGCATTGGTGCTGTGGAGTCCTCTGTAGCCCCTCTCACTTGTGGAGTACCTCAGGGTTCTATACTTGGCCCTCTTCTGTTTTCCCTGTATCTACTCCCTCTGGGACATCTTCTCCGGAAACATGGCATTTCTTTTCATTTTTATGCTGATGACAGCCAAATCTATGTTCCGTTAAAACAGGGCAAACACCATTCCTTGAAACAACTCCTGGGGTGTATGGCAGAAGTCAGAGCATGGATGTCACTAAACTTCTTACATTTTAATGACAAAAAGACAGAGGTCTTGTTGTTTAAGCCTAGTGAAGGCTCCAATATCCATGCTGATCTGGGTCCTTTAACAGAACATCTGACTGAGACAGCAACTAACCTGGGCGTGAGGCTGGACAGTGACTTCAAACTTGACACGCAGATTAAATCAGTGATCAAGTCCAGCTTCTTTCATTTGAGACAACTGGCCAAGGTCAAACCATTTCTGTCACAACATCATTTTCAGATTTTAATCCATGCTTTCATCACAACTCGCCTGGATTACTGTAATTCTCTTTATGTCGGTCTGAGCCAGTCATTACTGACTCGATTTCAGCTGGTTCAGAACGCAGCTGCCCGCCTTTTAACTGGTACCAAAAAACGAGAACACATCACCCCTGTTTTAGAATCACTACATTGGCTCCCGGTTCGCTTCAGGATTAATTTTAAGGTTCTTTTATTTGTTTTCAAATGTCTTCATGGTCTCGCCCCACAGTATCTGTCCGACCTGCTCCAGCTGTACACTCCTTCTCGCTCTCTCAGGTCAGCAGATCAGCTGCTGCTGGTCGTCCCAAGGTCCAACAGGAGACTGAGAGGTGACCGAGCGTTCTCAGTCGCTGCCCCTAAACTGTGGAACGAGCTGCCTCTGCATGTCAGACAAGCTGGCTCACTTCCTGTTTTTAAGTCTTCTCTGAAGACACATCTTTTCTCTTTGGCTTTTACTTCAGTTTGAAATGTTGGTTTTAATGACTCTAAGTTATTTGTTTTATTTTATTTGTTATCTTTATTTTATTTCACATTTTTAACGTGTGGGGTTTTTATGTTTTTGTATGTCCTAGTGTACAGCACTTTGGCCAACAGTGTTGTTTTAAAGTGCTCTATAAATAAAGTTGTATTGTATTGTATTGTATAGGATGGAGTGGATGGAGAAAAGTTTCAGGAGTTATTTGTGACAAAAAGGTGTCAGCAAAGGTCAAAGGAAAAGTTTACAAGACAGTGGTGAGACCAGCTATATTGTATGGTCTGGAGACAGAGACATGGACAAAAAGACTGGAGACAGAACTGGAAGTGTCAGAGCTGAAGATGCTAAGGTTCTCCTTAGGAGTGACAAGGCTGGATAAGATTAGGAATGAGATCATCACAGGTACAGCACAGGTTGAACAACTGGGAGATAAAGTTAAGGAGGCTAGACTGAGATGGTTTGGACATGTCCAGAGGAGGGACCATGGGTATATTTGTAGAAGGATGTTAGAAATGCAGCTGCCAGGAAAAAGACAAAGAGGAAGGCCAAAGAGGAGATATATGGATGCAGTTAGAGAGGACATGAAGGTAGTTGGAGTGAGGACAGAGGATTCAGAGGACAGACTGAGGTGGAGGAGGATGACTCGCTGTGGCGACCCCCGAAGAGGGAAAAGCTGAAAGAAGAAGAAGAAGCCGAAAGAAGAAGAAGAAGAAATAATTAGTCAAACAAGAATACACATGTAAACACACAAGTCACCTTCAGAAACACTGAG